TTTGATACGACTTTTAAAACATTTATAGATTAATGAATTACTCTGAAACACTGAAATCCTTACCAGGAAGAGCAGTTCAGTGGTAAATGTTGTCCACGATCACCACACTGAAGTAGGACAAAACTGCTGCTTAGCCAGCTCAGTACTTTACTGCCACCACTTTTGCATCCATTCCAGAAAATATATTAGAATGCAGGAGCATGAGAATGCCCTATGCCATTTATTTATAAAGATAAATAAACAATAATTTATTTAAAAAACAAATTATTCATTAACTTTGGTATTCTTACAGCTAACCAGTAACATGTTATGGGCAGTATCCTTTACAACTAATCATGATATACTGGTGTGTCCCTATCCAAGAACAAAGGTGGGAAACCACAGTCCATAAGCAAACCCAGCCTGCTTCCTGTTTTTATGCAGCCTGCAAGCTAAGAATGGTCTTTGGATTTTTCAATGGCTTTTTGAAAAAAATCAAAAGGAAAATATTTGTGACATTTGAAAAGTATATGAAATTCAAAGTTCAATGTCAATTAAGGTTTACTGGAACACGGCCATGCTCATTCATTTATGTATTGTCTATAGCAGAGCCAAACAGAGACTGAAAAGCCAAAAACTACTATCTGGCCCTTAACAGAGAAAGTTTGCTGACCCCTGGACTAGAGCTAAGAATGACATACAACTTCAGTGATCACATCTCTTATGCACAAAATCCTGAATACAGACAGTAAACTCAATTCCAGAAATAGTGGTAAATACCATCTAGGATGGAAATCCATTCCTGAGTTGTCCAAAGTTTCTGATTTCTTTAATGACAAAAGCCAACTTAATTAAATACAGCTTCTGCATTTTATCTGAAATCATGTTTATAAATTCACCTTTTGACTACAGTGGAGCAATAAAAAAGCACTGGGCTCCAAGTTAGAAGATCTAGGTTCTAGATAATTCACTTTTAAATTGTTAAATTCTTAAAAATGTATTTAAGTCTTTTTTGATCTGTGTATTAAACCTATTAAAAGAACTAAGATAACTGGTAAAATAATCAAAATGCTTTTAAGCAGAGAAGAAAGTTGACATAAAGTAAAACATGCTTCTCTCCCCCAAATATAACTATAAAGAGTCCTCCAATTAATTGTAAATTATTAAACAGGGAAAAAAAGGCACCTAGCTAATTGGAGTGTAGATAGTGGGTTCCATTCAGTAAAAGTTTTAGTGGATGTGCATGAAGGTGTATGAATGTATAGGAAATCATGTCACCTCCCTAGGCTTCAGCTGCACCCCTGTAAAATAAGAGCATTGGATTAAATGGTCTCTAATGTCCTGGCCAGCACTGGTAATTTGTGTCAAATGACCAGCCTCAGTTTTTTCATCTGTAAAATTGGATAAATAATAGAATCTACTTTCTATGGTTGCGCTGAGGATTAAATGTGTTAATTCATGTAAAGTGCTTAGAACAGCACTAAATACACTTCACTAGCATTATTATTACTTAGGTACTTGACAAAGGACACTGGTTGGGCATCTCCAACCAGTGGAGATGGGAAATGCAGACATAAAATAGAAGTTGATTCTCTTTTATTAAGTAGGAATGAATGAAACTGGAGTCTATGGAGTTATCACTTCATCATGTTTATCAATAGGTGATTCTCTGAGATAATATTAGGTCAAAGGCATTCTGTATCACTGGTGTGAATTCTTATTTCTGAACAATGATTATTGTTAGTACTGTTACTAAGGACGTTTCTATTTATGTTTCAAAAAACAAAGTTCAGTGGTTGCTAACTTAATTATTTATGGTTTGAGCACAGGAGGAAGAATATAAAAACTTTGGCCAGTCTTGTAATATACATGAAATGCAAGCCTTCTGAACCAAACAAACTTGCCATAGAAGTATAGTTTCTCGTATGTATTCATTCTACAAATGTTTGCTGAGTACATGCTATGGAGAAACATCTGCTACAATGATGAGTAATGTGTCTGCATGAGGGAGATAACAAAGAGGACAAGCCAGCAAGTCTAGAAAAGCATGATATGTTGATGAGGAAGCCCAATGCGCCATGGGAGCATTTAACAGGGACCTAGACCTATGTATGTAGTCCAGGGATTTAGAGGAAAGAATATTTAAGCTGTGACCTGACAGGTCAGTAGGAGTTCATCAAGCACAAGAGGTGGAGAATGTTTGAACACGGGGAACTAAATGAGAAGTGAGATAGAGCAGGTCTGAAGAACTTAGAGCCTTTCACTCTTGCTGGGACATATCAAGGGAGGAAGAGTGGCAAAAGATGATATTGCAGGTCACAGAACTGTCTTGCATTTTACCTTCATGGCACTGAGAAGTCATTGAAAGTTCTAAGCATAAAAATGCAAAAACTGGTAATCAAATTAGAAACCATTCGTGAAATAATTAGCTTGATGAGAAATGTAAGCGGAAGGAAGCTGCATTCACTTCTTCCTTCCCTGCTTGCTACTAAGCTGGAGTCCCTCTTTTGTTTTAACTTACTGTATTTATAGCTCAAATACTATACACATAAGAGTGAAATATAAAAATATTTGCTTCTTATTTACAATGTGGACGCCTGCATATCAGTATCTTCACTACTAAACAGCCACTAGAGCTGAGAAGACACTACACGGGCCAAAATTAGCCATGACCAGAGTGGAATCAAGGACTTGAAGCAGGGTACTTGAGTTTAAATCCTACCCACTTCCATTACACACTTGATGTCAGTTCTCCCCTAAATGTCAATTTCTTCCCATCTGTAATGAATAGTATTTCTCCTACTTCCCTCGGAAGTGTCTGGTAACTGTGTTTATTGATGTTTTCCTTATTTTGGTTCAGATCCAGAAGAATTTGAAAGCTCTCCCCACAAGCAGACTTTCACCTGTGACATGAATCTTGAGGGCGGTATTAGAAATCACAGTCACCAGTGTTGTTCAGTCACAAGCCTATGAAGTTGAAATCAGCTTTAAAACAACAAGGGCAAGCCAGAGAACTCCAGAATGCCACAGAGGAAATGTCTCAGCAGCACTAACTATACCTGCAGACTTCTCTCCTCAAAATGGGCTGTTAGCACAGACATTTGGAACCTTTAGAAAAAAGCATTATGTCAAGGCATTATTATGAATTATGCTGATTGCCTGTCCAGTTTATAAGTCTGAACATTTTATTTTATTTATCTTTTTGAGACAGGGTCTCCTTCTGTCACCCAGGCTGAAGTGCAAGTGGCACAATCTCAGCTCACTACAACTGCCACCTCCCGGGTTCAAGCAATTCTCGTGCCTCACCTCCCAAGTAGCTGGGATTACAGGCATGTGCCACCATGCCTGGCTAAGTTTTGTATTTTTAGTAGAGACAAGGTTTTGCCATGTTGGCCAGGCTGGTTTTGAACTCCTGGCCTCAAGTGATCCACCTGGTTGGTCTCTCAAATTGCTGGGATTACTTGTGGCATGAGCCACCGTGCTCAGCCACAAGTGAACAGTTTAAATGGATACTCTAGGTGAATTCACTTTATGGGTCATTTTCCCATTTTCAAATTAAAAAAAAAAAAAAAGCCACCTCATTAAAAAAAATTATATTCCAAATCTCTACAGTCTCAAAAACTGTTGATTATTAAAATGCCCTAAATTTTTAATAAGATGTTTTGTCTAATACATTTTTAGGCAAGGTGATCACCTGAGGTCCGGAGTTCGAGACCAGCCTGACTAACATGGTAAAACTCCGTCTCTACTAAAAACACAAAAAATTAGCCAGGCATAGTGGCACATCCCTGTAATCCCAACTACTCAGGAGACTGAGGCAGGAGAATCGCTTGAACCTGGGAGGCGGAGGTTGCAATGAGCTGAGATCATGTCATTGTACTCCAGCCTGGCAAAAAGAGCGAAAATTCATCTCAAAAAAAAAAATACACTTTTAATCATAATGTATGCTGGCTCTGACAAGATAATTCACTGTAACAATAGATTAATACCTCAGTTTTATAAAATTCAGTGCTTGAAGAGTTCAAATTCTAACTGCTAAGAATTCCCATTTTAAAAAATATCATTAACACAAATTTACATATTCAGGACTGCACACAGTTCAGTCTCTAACCTTTCCAAATAGCAGTACAAATGTTTTCTCAAAATTACTCTCTAACTGAGAAGAAACTTCAAATAAATATTATTTATTTGTTTGTTTTTGGAGACAGAGTCTGGCTCTGTCACCCAGCGCTGGATTGCAGTGGCACAATATCGGCTCGTTGCAACCTCTGCCTCCCAGGTTCCAGAGATTCTCCTGCCTCAGTCTCCTGAGTAGCTGGGATTACAGGCATGCACCACCACGCCTGAATAATTTTTGTACTTTTTAGTAGAGATGGGGTTTCACCATACTGGTCAGGCTGGTCTCAAACTCCTGACCTCAGGCGATCCGCCCGTCTCAACCTCCCAAAGTGCTGGGATTACAGGTGTGAGCCACCGTGCTTGGCCGAAATTTCAAATAAATATGAACTATTTTCATATCATTGTAGTTTCATCAAATCTCCCCATTGGCTGTGTAAATATCCAAAAGCACTTCTGCTTTATGGAAATTTGAAAGTTCTTCCGCCCAAAAGGCTGACTGTGAACTTATGACATTCAGTAAAATTCTCCCTAGTGATACTCAAATAACTCTCTTGTGCTATACCACTCACAGTAAAGAAAGACAGTTTTGAGACATGATGTCTATACATAGTTCTTTCTCTGCCTTTCTATTTGTTATTTCCAGCCAAAGCTACATGGTATGTGGATCATAAAAAGGCAGCCTTTCTGGGTCTCAAATCCCATTCAGGAAGATGGCAATCATAATTTTCATCAATCCAACTCAGAGATGTTGTGAAGTTAAATAAGAAAACATATTTGAAAATACATAGAAAAGATGTAAGTACATTCCAAAAGTATAGGATCATTGTTAAACAATCCTCTTTGACTAGAAAAGAAGCTTGTTCTTTCTTTCAAAAAGCTGAAATCATATGACGTTTTTTTTTCTGTCAAATAATCGAAGCTAAAATAATACTGGATATTCTTTAAAAATATATTTATACTAAAGACTTCCCAATCCATATAATCTGTTGGCCCTGTAGCTGTGGTTAGGGGGTTCCCATCAATAGGTAGAATGTCAGAGCAACTATCAGAAGCAAACAAAATGGAGATGAGAAGGTTTGATAGGCAGCTGATGGCATAAAAATGTCTTCATACTTGTAAATACTGACAACACGCTCTGAAGCCGGCGGTGAGTCTATATCATGTCGAGTGATAGAGCCTTTAAGAAAAAAAGAGAAGGGCAGGGAGCAGTTGAAAAAAGTACAGATTTATAATGGTATAGGCAAACAATAGAAAAATCAAAAGTCTATTTAGTGTTGAACGCATACGCAATGGTTACAGATCTGGATTCAGGTATTCGAGTTATCAGAATTCTCTATCATTGTCCATCTAATGAACGCAGAAATTACTTAAATTTATCCAAAAAGACTAGTTCTCATTAATTTGCACTCCCCTATCAGAACAATGCTGTTGGTCTGGTTCCTGGCATCTCAATGTTAAGACTGCTAGTTATATAACATTGTATGATTATTGTTTGATTGCCTCCTTTAAACAGCTATAAGGAGTTCTGTCTTATTAATACCCAAATGAGCAAACTGTATTTTTATTTCAAACAGCAGAGACTACTAACTTTTTTCCCTCAGATCTATCTTGCCTATATGGATCATCAACAACTCCTGACAACACTATTAAAGTCTCCCTTACAGATGGAAGCCCTCTTCTACCGTCTGTGGGACATTCAGTACCCTCCCCCAGGCCATGCCAGGGGGAGTGTGGTATACCGGATGTGTGTCTGTGTGTCTGGCTGATTAGGGTTGAATGGTACAGAAAGCAGGATGATTAAGGTGCCAGACAAGTCTTTGGCTGGGAAACATTTTAAAAACTTGGTTACAAGTGGAAAGAAGTATAGACTGTGTGTAAAATATATTTAATAAGCTTCAGTTGATTAAAAGTGTCTGACCTTCTGAATAAACCACATGAAACTTGGGTTAGGGAGACTAAGGCATAAGCATTCAGTGCAAAAGTCTCCTTAGGAATAGGGCTCAGAGTGAGGGTTTTCAAGGTACTATCTGCTAGGGAAGCCCTGCCAAACTTAACACGTCAGGTCTCTGCTTAGTGTCCATGCTGGCCCAGTTAGCAAAAATCAAATTCTCCAGTTTGTATGACTATGGTCTCACCTACTTGGGAGGCTGAGTTGGGAGGATCACTTAAACCTGGGAGGTGGAGGCTGCAGTGAGCTGTGATTGTTTCTCTGCACTCCAGACTGGGTAACAGAGAAGACTTTTATCTCAACAGACCCCACTCACCTCTCCTACCTAACCTCAGCTCACTGGTCACCTGCACTGGCTGCTTGACTTAACTATGTGCCTACAGTTCATGACTTCCTTTAGTGAAATCTGACCCCATACCCCTTTCAAGCCTTAGTTCAAAGTTTTTCCCCTGACAGAGACCTTGGGAGAATGCATAGGATATAATTAATAAAGAGGCATTAGAAGGGCACGCAGGAAACGAGAAAAGCACAAGACTACATATAGGGTAGCAACGTGCCTGTTTTGCTTAGAGGCAGTAAGAAGAACAGAAGTCTGGAGAGAGCTTATCAGGTAAGGCAGGACCAGATTTGGAGAAGGCTTTGAACTTAGGCTAGTCTGCCATATATGTAAAAAGATGACCTTCTGAAAATACAGCCCTTTCCAATTGGTAAAGCAATTTCAAATACTTGTTTTCACTTAATCCTTATAATAACTCCATGGAATAGGAAGTATTATTGTCCCCACTTTAGATATAAGGAAATGAAATTCAGAATTTAAATAACAGGCTAAATATCATATAGCTACCAAGGGGCAGAACCAATACTCAAACTCAAAGTTTTAGACTTCAAATCTATTTTAGATGACTCCATTTCTCCATGCTGAGATATAATTTATTTCCCAGGGTACTGAAAGTAGTTGAAGTTATAACTGCAGAGCCACTGTTGGTATCTGGGAAATTAAAAAATGGAAAAGGTGTCACCAGTCTAGAGGCATCCAAGTGTCTTCCCAATTGGCAATAGGCAAAATAAAAGGCAGATTATGTCATCTCTAGTATGATTGGTGGAAACAAATTGAAGGAAGAAAACACAACCAGGGCCCGGCACGGTGGCTCACGCCTGTAATTCCAACACTTTGGGAGGCCGAGGCAGGTGGATCACCTGAGGTCAGGAATTTGAGACCAGCCTGCCCAACATGGTGAAACCCCTTCTCTACTAAAAATACGAAAATTAGCCAGGCATGGTAGCAGGCGCCTGTAATCTCCCAGCTACTCGGGAGGCTGAGACAGGAGAATCATTTGAACCCAGGAAGTGGAGGTTACAGTGAGTTGAGATTGTGCCACTGCACTCCAGCCTGGATGACAGAGCAAGACTTCATCTCAAAAAACAAAAAACACAACCAGGTCAGATTAGGCAACAAATAGTTGATGAGCACACAGTAAAGAAAGATGCAATTACCAGGAACCAGAATGAGTTCTCAGTGCAAGGACTGCAAGCCAAACTCACTTCCATTCTTGATCAGACCTTTAGGCTAATAAACCAGAAGGCATGCTCAAGACTAATGGAACTTGATTTTGGCAATCTCTTAAAGGTCTCATGATATCCTTGGGTCTTTGTTGGGGAAATGCTGCTGAGTCTTGCCACCCAAAATGAGGTAATCAATGAACCAGCATGACCAGGTTGCTTACTAGAAATGCAGAATCTTGCCAGGCATGGTGGCTCACACTTGTAATCCCAGCACTTAGGGAGGCCAAAGCTGGTGGATCACTTGAGCTCAGGAGTTCAAGACCAGCCTGGGCAATATGGGGAAACCTCATCTATACTAAAAATACAAAAAAATTAGCCAGGCATGGTGGCACACGCCTATAGTCCCAGCTACTTGGGGGTCTGAGGTAGGAGAATCACTTAAACCTGGGAAGTGGAGGCTGCAGTGAGCTGTGATCCTTTCATTGCACTCCAGCCTGGGTGACAGAGAAGGACCCTGTCAGGGAAGGGGAGGGCAGGGGAGGGCAGGGGAGCAGAATCTCAGGCCCCTACCCCAGAGCTACAGAAAATTCCACTTTAACAATATAGCCAGGTAATTCCTATGCACATAAATATTTAAGGAGTAATGGGTTAAACTATAGGATAATTTGGCAGATTTTTGTGACTAACAGAATAGTCACGAAGTGGGCATTAATGAAATGTTTGGTGTCAATTTCTGGAGAAGTCTCCAGAAGCCCTTTCTGTTCAGTATTTTTTATTCTTTCTTTCTTTCTTTCTTTTTGAATGGAGACAGGGTCTCACTACAGTGCCCAGGCTGGTCTTAAACTCCTGGGCTCTAACCATCCTCCCAAAGTGCTGGGATTACAGGCATGAGCCACCATGTCCAGCCCCTGTTCAGTCTTTTTATATTCACAGCATAGAAGTTAAGAGGATTCACTGGGTCAGACAGACTTAGGATTCAATTTTAATTCTTCTACTAATTAGTTGTATAGCTTTGAGCAAGTTTCTTAATCTCTCTAAAACCAGGACAATAATACCTATACCTCTCAAGAACATGGTGAGGAGTCAATGAGAATGCTGTGATAATTGAATAGAGCCCTACATATAGCAGATAGATCTGTTTCATTAAGCACGTTACTCATGACATACTATCTTGTACTGCTCTAGCTTAGCATGTGTATAACTGTTCGTTCGTTTGTCCATATGTATAATAAGTCCATTATAACCTTCTGAAGGTAGGAGTCACATCTTCTTTTCCTTTAAATTATCCAGAGTGCTTATTGCTCTCTTGTGCACACAGTGTGACTTCAATTAATAATGAACACAAGCACAGTGGTGTCTGGTGTTTAATCCAGATGCTAAAATGTAAGCTTACCCTGAATGGCTGGACCCCAAGCAAACAGATAATACCAACTCAAATGCAGATCAACAATTGTTTCATCTCTGGGAACATTCACAGGGCGTTTAAATCTGCAGGTGACGCGATTATTCTCAAAAACTCCTTCTTCATCTCTGGCAGGGTTTCTCTGAATCTCCTTCGCCCACTGGCCTACATTATAGAAGTGCTGTATGCGGACCCTGCCATTGTCATCATGGACGCAGGCCATGACATCATCACCACCCTAACATGAGAAATGATTAAGAAAAAAAAAGTCAAAGGTTCATCTTTTGCACACTGGTCACTAGAAATATACATTCCATCACCTCTGCAATTTGAAATCCCACCAAAAAAAAAATTCTTTTAAATGCAATTAAAAAGTCTCAACCAAGAGACTGAAGTTACCATCACAATAATTGACATTCAATGCCTCCTGAGTGATGCTTAGAGAAGACATCACCACCTATGTAGTATTCCTGCCCAAAACACAAACTAACCTAGTCACGAGAAAATAATCAAACTCAAACTGAAGGTCATTCCACACAGAAAAAAAAACTAGGCCAGGTGTGGTGGCTCACATCTGTAATCCCAGCACTTTGGGAGGCTGAGGTGGGCGGATCACGAGGTCAGGAGATGAAGACCATCTTGGCCGAAATGGTGAAACCCCATGTCCACTACAAATACAAAAATTAGCCGAGCATGGTGGCGGTTGCCTGTAGTCCCAGCTACTCGGGAGGCTGAGGCAGAAGAATGGCTTGAACCTGTGAGGCGGAGGTTGCAATGAGCTGAGATCGCGCCACTGCACTCCAGCCTGGCGACAGAGACTCCATCTCAAAAAAACAAAAAAAACCCTAGCTTATAATCTTCAGGGAGTCAATGTCATGAAAGACCAAAAAATGAAAAGAAAAAGCTAAGGAACTACTTTAAAATAAACATGAGAATAAAATGCAGTTCTAAATGTTCTGACATAGAAATTTGGGCCATAAACCCAAAATTTCCCTAAAGGACAGTATCGAGACAAGCAGCAATATATGAAAACAAATAATATATTTAATAATACTATCATAGCTATGCTAAACTTCCTAAATTTAATAAACTATATAATCAAAGAGAACATTCTTGATTTTAGGAGATACCTACTTAAGTATTTAGGATTAAAGGATTATGACATTTGTGATTTAAATGCCAAAGTTCCAGAAAATAATAATAAAAAAATAATAATAATCAGTTGTAGCAGCAGTAGCAGCAGTAGTAGGAGAATAAAGCATGTGTGGCTGACGTCATTATTTATAAAAATGTTCTGGAACTAGGGAGTCATGAAGGTGGCACAACACTGAATGAATTGACACTTTAAAATAGTAAATTTTGGTGTCACTGCACTCCAGCCTGGATGACAAAGTGAAACCCTGTCTCAAAAAACAAAAACAAAATAAAATGGTCAATTCTGGCCAGGTGTGGTGACTGACACCTGTAATCCCAACATTTTGGGAAGTCAAGACAGGAGGATGATTTGAGCCCAGGAGTTTGAGACCACTCTGGGCAATACAGTGAGATCTTGTCTCTACAAAAAACTTTAGAAAATTAGCTGGGCATGGGGGCTCATGCCTGTAGTCCTAGCTACATGGGAGGCTGAGGTGGGAGGATCGTTTGAGCTGGGGAGGTTGAGGCTGCAGTGAGTCTTGTTTGTGCCACTGCACTAGAGCTTGGGCAAGAGAGTCTCAAAAAAAAAAAATACATACCCAACAACATACATACACAACACTGTCTCAAAAAAAAAAAATACATACACAACAACAAAAAAATAAAATGGTTAATTGTTATGTGCATTTTATCACAAAAAAGTTATCATTTTGTTAATCTAGATTTTCTATATATGAGTTTACTGTACTATCCTTCCTGCTTGTCTGTAGGTTTATACTTTTTTCAAAACAAGGTCAAAAAGTTAAAAGTGTTTGGTCGGGCATAGTGGCTCATGCCTATAACCCCAGCACTGTAGAAAGCTGGCAGATCACCTGAGGTCAGGAGTTCAAGACTAGCCTGGCCAACATGGTGAAACCCCATCTCTACTAAAAGTACAAAAATTAGCCAGGTGTGGTGGCACGTGCCTATAATCCCTGCTACTCAGGCGGCTGAGGCAGGAGAATCCCTCGAACCCAGGAGGCAGAGGCTGCAGTGAGCCGAGATAGTGCCACTGAACTCCAGCCTGGGCAATAGAGTGAGTGAGACTCCATCTCAAAAAAAAACAAAATGTTACCCCAAAAAAAGCGTTCATCAGTTGTAACACACATACCACCCTGTACCAGATGCTGATAATGGGGGAGGCTCCCAGGGGTATATGGGCACTCTATAACTTCTGTTCCATTTCACCGTGAATCTAAAACTGCTGCAAAAAGTAAAGTCTAATTAAAACACACACACACACGCACCCACATACACACCCACACACCCACATACACACACACACACACACACGTACACACATGTACCCTTTTTTTTTTTTTTTTCCAGACGGAGTCTCACTCTGTCACCCAGGCTGGAATGCAGTGGTGCGATCTTGGCTCACTGCAACCTCCACCTCCTGGGTTGAAGCAATTCTTCGCCTCAGCCTCCTGAGTAGTTGGGACTACAGGCGCCTGCCACCATGCCTGGCTAATTTTTGTATTTTTAGTAGAGACGGGGCTTCACCACGTTGGCCAAGCTGGTCTCAAACTCCTGACCTCAGGTAATCTGCCTTCCTCGGCCTCCCAAACTGCTGGGATGACAGGTGTGAGCCACCACACCCAGCCAATAATGTACCATTTTTAAAAAGTTAAAGGCTATTAAAAAGGGATTCCATTTTGTTTTTCCTATGCATCAGGTTTTCAAGAAAAATTCATCTGTGCTTTTTCTTGGAATAATACAAGAAAAAAAGAGACTTCTACTTTCACAGATAATATGACAATAGATACTTTATAGGCCTTTAGATAGCAGAATATCAAACATAAAATTTGAATGCTCCTCACTCTGCCTCAGTCCTCTAATCTGAACAGCCCCACCTGAGTGCAAATTCATTTAGGACCGGAAGCGGTCACTTTCCATGCAAGGCAGCTTCTGGGCATGGCATGCCCTGCTGTTTCTCCTACTGCCTCTACAGCAGGAGATAAGTAGACCCGTATCTATCCATGCACTCTTACCAGTTGTACCCATTAGACTGGGACACATTGAAGGCTATTCTCCTTGTGACCTCTCCAAGAATAAAGCCACCAGAGCCGCCAAGCTTAGACTGCTTCCCCGTGTTTTCCTATGACTCACCTACAACCCATATCTAATCCACTAGCAAATCCTATGAGTGCTCCTTCCTTCCGTCCTTTCTTCTGCCTTCCTTCCTTCCTTCCTCCCTTCTTTCCTTCCTCCCTGGCTTCCTTCCTCCCTCCCTGCCTTCCTTCCTCCCTCCCTCCCTTCCTTTCTTCCTCTCTTTCTTTCTCTCTCTCTCTCTTTCTTTCTTCTTTCCTTTTTTGAGATGGAGTCTTGCTCTGTTGCCTAGGGTGGAGTGCGATGGCATGATGTCAGCTCACTGCAACCTCCACCTCCTGAGTTCAAGCAATTCTCTGCCTCAGCCTCCTGAGTAGCTGGGATCACAGGTGCCTGCCACCATGCCCGGCTAAGTTCCGTATTTTTAGTAGAGACAGGGTTTCACCATGTTGGCCAGACTGGTCTTGAACTCCCGACCTCAAGCGATCCATCTGCCTCGGCCTCCCAAAGTGCTGGGATTACAGGTGTGAGCCACCGCACCCAGCCAGTTAGTGCTACTTTCAAACTATTCAAAATCTGAGCCCTTCTCAACATTGTCACTGTTGGAACTTTGGTCTGAGCCACCCTCCTCTCTGCCCAGTAGCCCTGCACAAGCCTCAAAATAGGCCAGGTGAAGAGACAGGGTGGGATGCTCTAGGCAGAAACAACAAGTGCAAAGACACAGAGGCCTGAGAAAGTCTGGCAGTTTGGGACCAAGTCCGGCCCAGCGAAGTAGCAAGGAAGGAGGCTCCAGAGGAAAGAGAGAAAAATGCAGCAAGGCACAGGGAAGAGCAGGCGCCAGAGATGACACTGCCTGTGAGCCTGAGTCCCTGCCTGTCCCTGGCCACAGTCCCGTCTGAGGTCCAGAGGTTTTCTTGCCGCTGGGTACAGAGGAAGATAAAACTGTTGAACCAAATTCTTCACTTCCCTGATGTAATCCACCATACCTATTATAATGAAGCCTCCATAAAAATTCAAAAGGAGGCCAGGCACGGAAGTGCCTATAATTCCAGCACTTTGGGAGGCTGAGGCGGGAAGATTACTTGAGGCCAGGAGTTCGAGACCAGCCTGGCCAACATTGTGAAACCCCATCTCTGCTAAAATTACAAAAATTAGCTGGGTGGGGTGGAACACGCCTGTAATCCAAGCTATGTCGGGAGGCTGAGGCAGGAGAATTGCTTAAACCCAGGAAGTGGAGGCAGCAGTAAGCTGTGATCGCGCCACTGCACTCCAGCCTGGGCAACAGAGTAAGACACCATCTAAAAATAACAAAAAACAAAAACAATCCCAAAAGGACAGGGTTTGAACAGGTGGAGGTGGCTGAAGGGTAGTGAACCCAGAAGGGGCATTGAAGCTCCTCACTCCTTCCCACATGTCTTTCCCTAAGTGTTTCTTCCATCTAATCGTTCTTCTTTATCCTTTGTAATAGCCTTTATAATAAAAGAGTAAAGTAGGCCAGGCACAGTGGCTCATGCCTGTAATCCCAGTACTTTGGGAGGCTGAAGTGGATGGATTACCTGAGGTCAGGAGTTTGAGACCAGCCTGGCCAACACGGTGAAACCCCATCTTTACTAAAAATACAAAAATTAGCTGGGTGTGGTGAAAGGTGCCTGTAATCCCAGCTACTCTGGAGGCTGAGGCAGGAAAATCGCTTGAACTGGGGAGGCTGAGGTTGCAGTGAGCCGAGATTGCACCACTGCACTCCAGCCTGGGTGACAAGAGTGAAACTCTGACTCCATAAATAAATAAATAAATAAATGAGTAAAGTGTTTGAATTCTGTGAGCCGCTCCAGGAAATTAACTGAACATGAGGAGGTGGTGGCACCCCAGACTTATAGCTGATTGGTCAGAAATACAGGTCACAACCTGAGGCTTGTGACTGAGGCAGTCTTGTGGTTTTGAACCCTTAACCTGTGGGATCTAATGCTGTCTCCAAGTAGGTAGTGTCAAAAATAAATTGAATTAGGGGACACCCAGCTGTCCAATGGAGAGCTGCTTGGGGTGTGGGGGAACATCCCCATATATCTGGTCACAGAAGCGTTCTTTCTGTACTGAGAATATGAATAGAGAGGGAAAAAAGTTTGTTTTTCCCTTTTTTTTTTTTTTTTTTCAGATGGAGTCTTGCTCTGTCACCAGGCTGGAGTGCAGTGGCACAATCTCGGCTCACTGCAAGATGAGGTTCAAGCAATTCTCCTGCCTCAGTCTCCCAAGTAGCTGGGACTATAGGTGTGTGCCACCACGCCCAACTAATTTTTGTATTTTTTTTTTTCCAGTACAGAAGGGATTTTACCATGTTGGCCAGGATGGTCTTGAGCTCTTGACCTCGTGATCCACTCACCTCAACCTCCCAAAGTGCTGGGATTACAGATGTGAGCCACTGCACTCAGCCTGTTTTTCCCTCTTATAAGTGGTTCTTTCACTTCTGCCTTTGCCATTAAAAAAAATATGCCTTGGATGACTAGTGAAAACACAGAGAAAACCTGAATCCAACTCATGGACTGGAGTCAAGTCCAGCTGAGCCCCACCTAAACTGAGCTGTACTCCAGTCAATCCACGCACATGTGAACAGGCAATAAATGCTCACTGTTGTAAGCCACATAAGGCTTATAACATGAGTGCCTCTTCTTGTAGCCTTGCTGTGGAAATAGCTGATGAATAGAGGTGCCACAAGACAGCTTGGATTCTGATAACCAACTCTCTCATTTAAGCTATCCTGGATATTTTTTTAAACTTGCATTCAGAGGGCCATAACTAATATGATCATTATACTGCTTTGATCAATTTACTTGCTTTTAAAATCAAAGTAGTACAGCCAACTAAAGAGAAAAATCAGTTTCTATCATGTTTTGCATCTTACCATTTTCTTGTCTGAAGAGAATCCAACTGCTACCCAACCATCTGTGTCTGCACTCAGCTCAAATTCTACATCAGCCCCTATCATCCGGTAGCTGAGGAAGTAGTCACAGGTCTCTGCATTACAGCCTGGTTTGCCATATCTAGAAGATATATCGAAAGAGACATTACTGCTTCTACTTACTCAAAATACATTAAGAGAGCATCTACCATATTATCAGGTGGGATGCCAAGCAATATTATTAAACACATTGGATTTTTGCTACCTGGGATCTTAAAAACACAGTTTCACTCTCTTAGGAGGAGATTTGGAGATGATCTGCCCCATTTTATACATAAGAACTACAGTTCTGAGATGCGAAGGGGCTTGCCCATGGTTGTATAGTGAAGTCAGTGGTTGCAACAGGACTTGAACCTGGGTCTCCAAAATCCCAGCCAGAGTTCTTTACATTATATTAACATCACGGTCTTTTAAATATTAGTTACTGCTGAATTATTTCTGAATCCCTTTTAATGGAAAAAGATTCTCCAAGTTAACCAGTTATATAGTTTCTGCTAATTAAATGTATATCAACTCTTTTTAACTTACAAATTTTCACATAATCAAACTAACACAAATTTACAAATTCAATATAAATTAAACTAATAAACCAGGAACACTGAAATTCACAACACGTATGCAACAGATAATGGGGCTTTACTGGAAGTAAACTTCTGCTTATGTGCATGTGGCATCTGACTAGATCGTGCAGCATCTTTGAAGTTGAGAGCATGTTCTTACTACTCTCTTTAGCATGATGGCTCAACTCTTCACTTTTATCTATTTGAACTGCTGCAAAACCCTCATTTATGAATACCCCCATCTGGTACTCATGGACCATGAATGAAGGCACTATCTGTTTATAAAATTTTCTTTTTTTTTTTTTTT